AAATATAACTTATTTTTCTTATTTAGAGCATATTTAGCTAAGCCTAAAACAAATGTAAATTTACTGAAAAGTAACTTTTAAGTTTTGTCAAACATGTTTGTTTCCTTAAAAGATACTTTTAAATGCAACTTTCTTCCCAAAACATGTTAAGGTTTTTTTTTTTCTTTTTTTTTTTTCTTTTTTTTTATCAGAAGTTGATTTTATTTTTTTCTTTGAATTTTAGTCAAAAATTGGTTTATCAGCAAGCTTGCTCTTCGTTCTTGAAAATGAAAAATTCTTCATCTAAGCTTAACCAAACTCTACTATGTTGGGTTCATAAATTGAAATTGGCAAATTTGAGGGGTTTTTAGCAATATATATAGGTTAAACTTTGTGTGTAAAGGAAGGGTGGATACAAATGGTTCTCTTATCCATTCCCCCGTAAACAACAAAAGGCAAGAAATGAGAAATTAGAAGAATACTCAAACCAAAAGAATCCCATCTCATCAATGGCTGACACTATAATGAGCTTCTCATTTATCAATCCTCATATCCAAACAACAAAACTAGACTTCAATTCATTTCCAAGAAAAGTAAGCATATTTTAATTCCCTTCCATTTTCTTAACAAATATGATTCATAATCTCACATCAAAAGTTTGTTTATTTCCAGCTTAGGCAATGTTCAAATTCAACATTTGGCTGTGGCAACAGGCATCAGGTAAATACGTTTCAGTATGTTTGCTACACAAATACTAGATAAGAACGAACATCATAATAAACACAATTTTGACTTCTTTGATGTTGTCCGTGTTATTCGAGTAGAAAATTTACAAGAGAAGTTCCACAGTTAAAGTAAATGCTTTACCAGATTGGCCATTGATGGCTGTTTTAGTTGAGCATATGGAAGGGCAGAGAGACCTCATTACCCACAAGTCAATTTGGCATCTTAGCGATGAGGCCATGAAGAATGTTTGTGAGTACCTTTTCCTCATTTCTAAGCATTTTTTGGATTTTATCAGTTTCCAATTCCGGTATGGTACGGACAAAGCCCCAGATGGCCATGATTAAGATCTTCAAGGACATGTTGCATAAAGGATAATCATTGAAGGCATTATTTGTTTCGCAGTAATTGACAGCGTTAATTTTTAACTTAATTTTTTACTTGATACACTAACCGGTTTTGTCTGTCTAACAAATTAGATATGACATAGTTTTTCAA